AAGGGCAAGCTTCGGTTGCTCTCGCGGCGTGACACGGCATTGACGTGGTATGTTTGGGACAGCCGGGGAACGCTCCTAGCGTACAGAATTGCTTGCATGATGTCCAGAACAACGATAGTAGAGCAAGTACATACTTGAGCTATGTTTTAGCCCTTGTCCGGGGGTCAATCTCAAGTTATTCACCTTCTTGAACCAACTTTTCGCCCTGTATTAACAAGTAAAATACTTTGGGTGGGTGCAGGGACATTTAAATGTGCCGCAGGAGTTAAAGAATCGCGGTTTAACAATAGGGTTGCCGCGCCGACGCCGCGTCAGACGCCGCGGCAATGCGCGCCGATGCCGCGTTAATGCCGCGTCAATGCGCGTCAAAGCCGCGTTAATGCGCGTCAGTGCCGCGTCACTGCGCGTCAATGCGCGTCAGTGCCGCGTCAGTCCGCGCCTGCGCCTGGCACCCCTCCAAGTACTACGGTCTAGTGCCTGTACGTCTATACGCAGTTTCTAGTATACATCCTGTCGGGTAGCCGGCGGGTAGGACTTCAATTTTTGAACCCTGGTACTTTCCCCTCACAGTCATCCTATATTTCGGCTCTTGTAGCCATCTGAACGAAATACGTACAATGGATACTACAGTACAATATTAATAACGGCAGGGAACCTAGGCTTGGACGGCCGTCGGACTGACCGCCGCGTCAATCACGTGATTGACGGGGCACACTCATTCTTCGTTGAATTTGGAGGTTTTGGGCACTACGCATTGTTAGGCAATTAGATGCCTATATTTAAAAATCCATATATCAAAAAACCAGTGGATTGACTTCGGCAGATTGGGTCTGAGTCCGTTGGTTGGAAAAGATTGACTCATGAGTCTATGTGCAGTTGATGTAACTTTGAAGAAGTGCAGCCCGAGGCATCTAAAATATATCCCTCGCTACAGAAATCTTTGGGTTGACTTCATTCATTACTGATAATCATATCTAGGAGGAAAGGGAAAAGTACTAGCATACATCAAGGATTACCTTTCAGGATCGAGGCCTCAGAATCTGGATGGAAGTGAACCATACCCTAACGATTTGCTGGCAGAGGTGAACGAATCTGGCCTGCCCTGTTTTCGACCCTCAACAGGATCAACTCGGATTCTCTTGGTAGCTTCGGGCATCTCGGAGTTGTTCAAATGGGGCATATGGAAATGTTTCGACTGAGGAATCTTACTTGAGGCCATCTCTTCGGCATAATTTGAGGTTGAATTAAAGATGTACCTGAATCTTTTTAAAAAAATATGAAATGGTGCCTCTCGGAAAAAACCCAAATCACTTACAAGTGACGCAACGGCTTGCCTCAGCTTGTGGCCTTGAGACCGCTTCCGAGTGGTTGTAAGCCGCTCACCCACCTTCTCGGGGTGCTCACAATTCGTTCCACGGTACGGACCATGTCTTGATACAGGCCGAGTCAATGAAACAATATAGGCCAATGAAGTGGGCCATAACTTTTCTCTTGTGACAGGCAAGATTATTGGGGAATCCGACCAACTCCAGTGAGTTTCGACAACTCAATTAGGTGGAAGACCTATTGAAATGGGTCAAAATGTGTAAGGCGGTGCTATATGTTTTTCACATAATGTATACAGTCAATGCCTCACCACATTGTATAAATGGTGTTGCTTTGACTTGACTGCAAGGCTTCAACTTATTGCTGAGTTCCAAGACAAATCAGCAGGGAGTAAAAACAAAGAGTGTCTGTGGAACGGGACGTCCAAACTTCGGAAATTCTTCTGTTATTCCAACTAGCGACATTATAGGCAACTTATGCAACCAGTCAGAAGTATCGCGAGATGGGATTTTGATTATTGAGGCATATTCTGCTGTGAAACTTACAAACTGGGCACGAGCATGAACTTCCTCAGTTGAAAGTCGCAGCGGAAGATGCCGAGTCACAGCTGATGTGCCGATAATGCGAGATGTGTGGTAACGTGCCGTAGACAGCGTGCCGACCAGTTCTGATGAAGTGCCGCAGATCAATGCCGTGTGCCGCACTCCCGCCGCATCTGCTACATCTCGTATGCCGGGAAGATAAATATATACGGGCCTGGCAGGCCTGGCATTCCCCGAGCTTGAGCCCTGAGCCCACCAAAGCCTTGTGTCGGGTTCAGCTCGGCTTGGCAAAGCCCGGGCCCGGCTCGGCTCGGCTTGCGGCCCTGGGCCGAGCCCTCAACATCACTAGGAACGGCGGGTCATTGTTGAAATTCCAACTCAAGATGTGGGACTCTCAATGACTTCCCTTCACCTGCTTTTGGTTGTCTACTGTAAATCTCGAATTTTGTGATTGTACAGGAGTTGTTCAATTTTGCTCCACCTTCCATTCGGATCGAAAACATGTCAATGGATGCACACATAATAAGGTACATACCTAAATGACAGTACACAGTTCAAGTCGTCAAGGTTAAGGTATTTGCATTGGGTCCCCAATTTATTCCCTGTCGACTTTGGAACCATTTGAGGAGCAGAACAGCACCGTCAAGTTTTATGACCCATAGAAGTCCGTTATGGGTAAATACGAACAGGTCTGCATAATTAAAGAGCCGTAGGTATGGAATCTACGTACGGGGACAAATAAACACCTCGCATAAGAGTAATACTAATCAATGATGAGTCCATTGTTGTACATAATTGTGGAATTGGCATGCGTGCCCAGTCGTGCCCACGGTAGGTGAGTCCAACAAAGCCCCGCTGAGTCGAACGCGGACTGTTTGGGTTGTGACTCCAACAATTCGTTGTATTACTGCACATCAACCGCATCGTCAATGTGTGCAAAAGGTCCATGCTACTATTTTAAAAATGGAGTAATGTGCTGGTAAAATATCCTGGGGTTGGTTGGAGACAGCCGTTTCAGTTAGGGATCGTTCCATAGTCATGCTAAGGCACGGTGAAATTCACAACCACAAGCAAGTGATTCAACCGTTTGAGCACGCTGACATGGCAACAGAGTCTAATTGTTGCCCTCAAATCCATTTTAAAAAGATAGGAGATTGGGAAGAGAGAATCTGGATCAGTTCACTGAAAGAAGCTTGGCTTGCGGGATGCAGAGTAATCTACAGTGGACGGGAGGCAGCGTGCTGATAGCTGTGTCAATGGCGAATCGAACCGCGCCAGTTACTGCTGTCGCGCGTCACAGGTCAAGGAGTGTTGACGATGAACCGAGGACCAATTTTTAAGTAGGGATAGTCGGAAGGTGTTGTATAGTGACCACATTCTCTCAACCGAAATTTTAACTTCATATCCGTGTTGACCATGGATTGGAATAGCACAGCAAACACAACCTAATCAGGACTTCCACGAGCGATCAAGGTATGTCTGTGGAAAAAAATCAATATGACACAACCGGGGGGTTCACCAATCAATTAAACCAGGAAACATGACCCGATAGCAAGATATCCTGTGCATTTCCGAATCACAAGTGCTTTATGAATCAATCCCAGTCCCCTATATAGTAGATATACCCTGATTTCAATGGCGAATAATACTCCCTGATGTAGCTTAGTGTTATGTAACTGACCGCAGTTTGGGGAAGAGTTCTTTTGCTTCAGGGGATGCATTGAGGCCACAAATAGTTGCCTGAGGTGGAAGCAGGGCTTCTGGAGGCTTGGTTTGAATGTTAGAGGCGGCGCACCGATCGCCGCGTCAATGCACGTCAGTGCCGCATTAATGCCGCGTCAGTGCCGCGTCAACGCCGCGCCGATGCGCGTCAATGCGCGCCTGCCGCGTCATTTTTACCAGACCCGATTCCAACAGGGTGTTCGAGAAGATCGGCAACGCTTCATTCGAAATTGAGAGCTCGAGTCTGAAGATCCTAAGCAGTGGCCGAATCGCGCAAAACGCTGCTAGTAGGGGATCAGGCCCAATAAAACATATCGGGTTCAGGATCAAAGTCGGCCAGGTTTGCGGTAACTTTTCGACGTGCAAGCCAATGCACGTTGGCGATGGCACGAGCTCGAGCCCGTGTAGTTCTGAGTGAGGCGGGATGACCATCACCGTGTGAGAGGAGACGCAACGACCAGCCGAGGCTGGGTGCACACGTGCTTTTGTTCGGGTGCGCTGCGCAAGATTTGACTGCATTTACCCGGTTCTCTTTCCTGCTTCGTTGGTGTCGCCAGTGTTATGCGTGTCTCGGAACCGTGTCTGGAGTTGAACCCGAAGGTGGAGGTGCGCATCAAAAGTCGGACATGTCACCGAAACTCGGATCTCTTCTTGAAGAGCTGGTTTCAACCGTAGCGATGACCACAATCTCCTGCAACCATCGTATGGCCGCAGACGCCGAGCGCACTGCTTGTCAACAACTCCTGTCGCGCATAACTAGTTCACCGGTACCATACGATATTTTGCCGCAGACCGCCGCAGGGTGGATGTGAAGGCACCAATCGCGGATCAGAAAGTTCACCCGAACTTCAGTGGTGGCTTGGACATATTGTCTCCCTCCCTATGCAGTTTCGCGCAGTTGATGAATGGCGCCCGGAATCCATGCTCGTAAGGCTGCGCACAACAATAATGTGCTCTCCAACCGGAAGTGTCGCTTAATCCTGATTGCAGCCGCGAAGCATTCGCTTGAACATGCAACGGAATTCGAGGGTTGAGCGCCACAGAAGATGAAGAAGCCGGCCTGTTCGATTCAGAAATCGATTTGTCGAGGAGGGATACATATACACACACCTCAGGGAAATAGGTGCGGCCTGGTGGTGTAAGGATCACACCCGCTACATTTTCAGGCCGTGCGTACGGTTAATGATTTTTTGAAAATATCGAGTCAAAGTCCAAAAAGGGCCCAACGGCCAAGCGATCAAAGTACCATTACACTACCGGGTCGTCCAAGCTACAGTGGTTTCCACTGAGCGCCCAATAAGCGCCCAGCTCCCTCGAGGGCCACGGAACTTGATCGCGTCGTGAAATGACACGGGTGAAACATTCAACAGCTGGAACGCTACGGAAATCAAAACAAAAATTGCATTGAGAGGACCCGGGCCCGAATCGAACGAGCGACTCCCGCCGTAAAGATCAAAACTACGGTACTACAAGCAGGCATGTTACCAGTACACCACCAGGTCTTGGCTCCTGCTCACCTAGAATGGAATAGAATACATCCTGTGGAAATGAGAGTCCACTGACTTTTAATCTGCAACGGAAGACAAGGTTTCGTTACTAAACATGGATTATGTTGTGATTCTCGTGCGAGGGTGCACCACCTCGGGACGAGTACCTGGAAATAAATTTCATGTGATCATTTTGTGTGGCTACATAACTGGTGATTTTGATACTACAGGCTGCAAGTGACACCCGAGTCTTGGAAGTATCGCGTCGGTCACTGTAAGATATGCCACTAGCAAGCTCGAATATATTTTAATTTGTCACGATACACCGTTTCAAAACAAAGGGAAAGTAAGTAAACAGGCGGCTTGTTAATTGCAAGTATGGGTGGACTTTACAATTGACATTGTTCATAGTAATCCATGTGATCCCCAGAAGCATCCATTGGGCCCCCATTCTCACATGTCGACCAGCGGCCAAGCTCCTCGACATTGTTCTGGACGTTTCTACTCCAGTTTCATTCTTGTATGTCCACCGCTTTACCAAAGTTTACCATCGCCTGCGAGATCAGTTTCGAAAGCCATTGCTTCAGAATAAGCCTCTGTGCCATATGGATGAGAAAAATGGTTGCCCAACGACCAGCCAAGGCTGGGTGGGTGGCCGATGCTCACCAGAGGTTGGCGGTGTTATATATAAAGGCCTGTAATTAGAGGTCAACCAATATTTGAAAAAACCCTCTAATTGTAGGTCGGTCATTCATTGATTCTTTAGAGGCACTCACGTGCCTCCCTAGCGATGACGACAGCGTATCAGACGACGAGGAAGACCTCGAGCTCGTCGTCTGCGAGTATGGTCGTATTTGCCATCATTATCCGCATTTGGAACACGATGAGCAAAGCACTTTCGACGTCGGCGGCCACGATGACGAGCAAAACACACACAAAAATAACAATTGTAGCGCGCTTTGCGGCAGAGCCCACTAACTAGGGTTTACCGACGGATCAGCTGGGTCACATAACATGATGGCCACATGACGGCGACGATAGTTCCACATCTTCAAGTCTTTGATAAGTCTCTAAAATATTCGTGTGGATTCTGGGTATAGTATGGGTTACGAATAAACAAGAACTTGACCCATGAGGCGCTTGAACGCACCTCCCACGAAAAGTGTTATGTGCGTGAAATTACAATAACGTCACACTTAACAGCAAGCTCCTTGCTTATCCGCTACCCAACGCATCGCCGCCGATGTGACCCTGTAATAATTTGAGCGGCTGTGTGACCTACCTCAACTCCTGATTGAATACTCAAAATGGGATAAGTCATTCATTCAACACGTTCACCGGGGATTTTTTCAAAAGAGCCCCTATTCAAACTGTGGTTGAAAAAGAATCACAGAAGCTTGGAACCCTCGCAAGATTGAGATATATAGGGTGTCGTAATGAAACTACAGTTAACTATCTCAAAATGCATATGGTTCGTTCCCCTGCCAAAATCTCCAGAAAGCTATGCATTATCAGGTTTATGCAATATCAGACAGGGTTTTGGGTGAGAATTGGCCACTCGTTCCATCCAGAATCCTATGCATTGTTAGATTTTTTGGCTCGGAGATTGGATGGCTTTTCACATTTTCAATGGATGCAAGATCAGCCTCCCTATGGGTCATATGGACACTATGGGGACAGGTGCAGGTTGTTCAATGTGTCAATCAGTGCTCCAAGTCAGAATTTCACCCTGAAAATTCCATGATTAGTGGTTTCCCTGCCCCTTGGAATGAGGGACAGTTGATTTTTATGATGAACAGTAATATTCTCACCAATGGACTTCATTTCGGAGCATTAAAATTTTCATACTCAATTGGCCAAAACCATCAATTTGCGCACTGTCAGGTTAGGTTCGGTCCAAGCCCCGTTCTGACGATGCCGCACCATGCCGGGTCGACCAAACAGACCAAACATCAAACCAAACAGACCAAACACGGCCTTCGTCAGAAGGGGCTTGCTGCAGACTGCCGAAATCGGGGGGCTTGGAGATTGCCCTCCAGCGTTTGAATGTGGCTTCAATGCCTCAGGGTCAATTAGTAATAGTTTTAGATCGTAAGTATGGCTACGACTTTCATCAACGGCCTGGAAGGATTCGGGGTATATTCATCGTGCTAAAAAGGCCTAGAAAAGTGGCCAAAACACGCATTTTTTGTGATGCTCCGCAAATATTTATTTCCTGCAGGATAATGTTCCCCTGCCATTTGAAGATAGGATTGGCATGTGGCTTTATGATCCATGTGTTTTCAGAGTGTCCTATGCCCGGAGTACAAAGTTATTTGCCAGCCATCCTCGAAAACGGCCAGATCAAGGAGGCTGTCACGCAGTGTGACCTGCCAAGTCCGCGTCACCTTCGAGCGCAAAATATTCACCTCACTCAGAGAAGGGCTATAATATTCTCTCTTTAAGCTCTAATCTATATCTGTGGAATGTTTTCGCGTCTCAGTACGCTATATGCATTATTTGAGATCAGGTAATTTCCAATTCTGAACATCTGGAGGATGAGCCCTTATTCGGCAAAACAGCAGTCCTTGGGCTTCAAATTACTGGTTTTTAGTGGCTGAACTACTATTGGTACATGAGAAAACAAATATAGACTGTAAATGTGGTCCACATAGTACCTGCACAATTTCTGTGAGCTGAGTGGTGGATCTGGTCAACTGATGGAAAAGGTGTGATTTGAGTCATCCAAAACACTAAAATTTTGAAACCCACACGCGACGTAGCTCTCAATAATGGTTCAATCATTTTTTCCAAGTACTGTAACTTCTTTGGCGAGTTTGAGACGCGTCGAAGTTGGAGTGACAAGTGTGACGCTGTGTGACAAGGTGTACTCACGAGACGGTGAGCGCCGTCTGTCCGTCAAATCGTTACCTAAATTCCTAAGTATATTTGAGACCATTACAAGGAGGCATATAAACAATCCCACCACCCAAATGTATGTATCAACTCTCATCCTAGACCTTGAGCTACATATTTCTCAAAACGGACGAACCCGGGATCAGCATCAACATTAAAAGGCAACTGAGAGTTAAATCACCCATCCAAGTTAACTAGAATTTACCCTGACATATGATCTACAGCTTTCAATTTACTGCTAAGTGATTGGATAAAGAGTGAGATCGGTGTGCGATGATTCGCAAGCCTACTGTTTGGCGCAGTTTGAAGCAAGCCCCTTCAGCGAAGGGCCGGCTCGCCGGGCCGGAGCTGCGCGGGCTTGCTCCGAACCTACTGTCAGGTGGCTCTGATGGCTTCTGCGCAAACTGTCTATTTTGGCACCCGCATAGCTAGTAATCAAAACTCCGAATCAAAGTTTGTGTGTCAGCCGGCAAGCACTACACGGTGTTTCGCGTGGGTAGCACACCCAAAAAAGAAGATACATGTTTTATCATCTGATGTCGAGATCGCGCAGCGGAGGGTATGCACTCTGACAGGGTTGTCATTAACAAGTAAATTTCCCTATTGAACTGTATATTTGAAGGACAAGTTACATTCACTATCTCAGCCTTCAGGCCCTCTGGAATACCTCCAATTACATCATATTGAAAAATCTGAGCCAATCGGAGCACTATAGCTTCTATGGAACATGTTCTGATGTCAGATAGTGGAAAACACCGAAAATTGAACCGGTGAATTATTTTGAGATGCTTAGAAATACGCAGGGCCCTGCGGAATTGCAGCGCGAATTGAATGAGCCTATTTATAGAGAGAACTGTTGAGATTTGAGCTTGCAATTGCTGTTCTCGTGAAAACTTACCACAAACAGAAAAAAAAAGCTGCGCCATAAATTCTGCTAAGGGCTATAATAGACTTCTCACTCTGATATGTAAGGCCCTGTTCGGGATCCCCAGGTAGGCCTCCAGGAGTACCTGTTAGGTAGCTAGTCACAAACCATCACATCAACGGACCCCGGTGCGACAGTCCGATCATTCAAGCCGAAAAGCTCCGACCCATGTCAGTGGACGTCGACCCGACGACGACCTCGACGTCCAGCACGTCGGGGAGCGCATATCTCAGTCATTAGGCATGTTTTCAAGGTGAGACTCCTTTCATATGAGCAGTATCTTCAATGTTAGTGTATGTATCTATCAGTTTCATATGTTCCCTGCTTGAAGAATAGGTGCAGGGACACGTCGGGGGTGGCGGGCAATGTGGCGGGATAAGCGGACAGCGCATGGACGACACCGACACGTAGCAATTTGATAGAGCCGCTCTAGACCAGTCTAGACCGAGTGACAACGAGAGTGACATTGGTAGATGTGATCTGTCCATATTTGGGGGTACAGGTACATCCTGGAGGCCTACCTGGGGATCCCGAACAGGGCCTAAGTGTAGGGCTGCTTCCCATGCCCGTGGCCATGGTTCCACGGCACCCGTGCCACGGGTGTGAGCTTTGTGAGCCGTTGAAAACACGGCTGTCACGGCTGTCTCACGGGTTGGCCGGACATACCAAAATCACTGTCTGAATGTCTCTCTGCTCGTGGACCCTCTTATCACCAGCTTCCTACAGTCCATAGACTCCTTTCGAAGGACAGCCGAATGTGTACACACCGCCTGAGTCCAAGGATTCTGATGGCATCATCATGTTTCTACAAGCGAGCCTGGTACACCGGCTCCCTCCTAAGCTCTGACATGCCTCGACACACCTCTGACGCGTATGAACGCAACGATTCCGCTACTACAACTGGCTGCACGAGGACTTTGTCCTTTGTGATCCAGTGAAGTGGTGGGTTGCCTGCAAACTTCAATTTAATCAAAGCACAATTAAATCTGTTCTGCCTTGCATGTGATCTCATGAACATTCCTGGTTCGTACCTCATAGACTACGTATTCAGAAAGCTTATATTCACTTTTCCTAGGGTCTGCCGTTGCAGTCAAGCACATTTTTTCTGGAGCCCGCAATACAATCTCGCTCCACCGGGCTAGTCTGAAGCTGAACACCATTAAAACATTGATGCTAGTGAAGCAATGCCTCCGCC